ATGTGGCCAAACTCAAACCATATTTAACATCGCCTTGACCGTTCAGTCAAACGCTCCTTGATAATCTAAAATTTGCCGAGTTGACGCATTTAACGTTTAACGACAGCTGGATATTCGGTTGTCACTGAATCGTTGCTACACTCGTTCATTGCAACAGTTCAGTATGACACATTGACAAACCTAGGAAGACATCAAAACGAAGTGATAAAAATTCTAATAATATACTCAACAACTTACAACCTTTCTTGTCTTATCACTTACTCACTACTCCAAGCTATGGCTAAACCAAACATATTTTATTAAAGATTGTTTACATTGACAAGTGTTTTCGATTAATATGCACACAACACAGAAGTAGCTAAACGATATATATCTTCAAAACGTTTTGAAGAACTTCGGAGACACTAGACTTACCTACAGATTACTGTGGCGAATTTATTCATGTATCCATAGCTAGCTCAACATAACCCAAGTAAGCTTCAAGTAAATGATATAATGCACATGGATATAAAACATTAACAACGAACATATGATGAAGATTTATGTGAATAGTTGTACACTATTTTAGGAATAATTCTTTTAAATGCCTACTTTAACTACTGAGTGAGCAGAAAAAGGCACTATGTGGAGCACATTGATTAAAGGACATTATTTGATGTAACTTTGTTCGAATAATCTCGTTCGTTCGATATTGTCAGTCGAACAAAAAACCTCATTAAAAGCTTCGTAATTTAAATACAGCTGGGAGTATGTGGTGTCCGAATGTAGAGTAGTTGTTTAATTACGAAGCACTTTTGTAGGTCGTATGAGTAAGGTCTATGTCTTTCCGTATTTCGCTCAAGTATCAGCAAGATTTTTCGATAAAAAAACTATTATTGTTCATATTATGATGTATCTAGTGTCATAAAGTTAAACGCATGCAGTTGTCGGTGCCGTTTGAAAAGTCCCATATGCGCTTTGTAAACGTTAGCTAAAAACAGATTCGTACTTTCAAAAAAGGAAGAAATGTTGTGAAACCAAATGCACATAAAGTAAATCATTTCAGCCGTGCCGAAAAAGCGTCGTAATACTATGTCTTACGGATGACCTCGATTGATTTTCAGGGTTGACCTTGAAAATGACACCACGAAAAGTTTACCTGTATGTAGCTTTCGTGTGAGAGCTCCGAAATTTAGAGAAATGATGAAATTACAGAATTTTACAATGCTTTTGGTTTTACTAGTGTTAAATATTGATATGTCAGACTGGAATTAATAGATTTGTAATAAACCAAGACACTAAATTTTGACCATATATCTCTTTGGATTTAAGAGTGGCATTGTAATTTACGGACAATCTCTAAGCCAATCAAAAGTGGCCATGAAAAAACCACTACTTATTACGGCCAATTGACAGTTATAAACTAGTGTGAAGGATGAGAATTATGGTTCATGGTTGATGTGTGAGGTCAAAAATTAGATTATGGGTTTTCGAAACAAACTGATATCAACTAACATGCCAAGATAATTTTTAACCGAATCGATGGAAGAATTTAGCGTCAAAATTCAAAAACTGTTATAGTAAATCCAATAGGTTTATTCACAAATTTATGTCTCGCCGATTTAAGCATTAGCAATTCATCCAAGCCCTCCGTATCCCAGCACTTGACCCTAATAATATATAACACTAGATCCTGAACCTAGAGCTATAAATCTTAGCACTTCTTCAGTTTCAGTATGTAAAGGGCAGAATGCTAGGTGACCTGTGTTAGTCTTAGCAATTATGGTCTCTCAGTTGATCCAACTTTCTTTTCAAAGAGTCGACAGATGGGGTTTCAATCACGTGCTGATGTACTGAATTCTACTCGTTGATGATTCAATGAGAAAGTCGATAGTCAGGTGACAAGTAATTTTTTATGGGTTTGTGAACATTTCTGGAGTGTCCTCGTAAATGCTCTGTTTTGCAAGACAAGAAAAATGAGGGCACGTCAGATACAAACTTGTCACTAATTAACTTGAACATTGTAACCGAGCCACCTTTAGTTCTTCGATATGACAATAAAAATAGGTTTACTTTAATCAGTCGAGCATCACACAGGAGTTTTACCAGTGCGGGAATCGTTGTCAGCACATAGCAAGACCGATGATGATGGGAAACTAGGAAGGTCATTTACATAAAAGAGGAATAACACACTGCTTTTCAGAAAGAATCCGGTTGTCGTAGAGATACTTAAACAGCTCCTTCCGAACAACCTTTCTAAACTTTTAACAATCATGGTGGTTAAGCTAACGGGTCGATAGTTCTCAGGTTTACGTTTCGTACCTGTTTTGAAGACAGGACTTACTGTGGCGTTCTTCCAGTCTTTTGGTAATTGACCCTGGGTTACAGATAGGTTAAAGCATATACTTAGGGGGTGTATAGACTCTTTATCTTCCCTTAAACCTTAAGGTTAAAATTGCTTCATAACGTTCTTCCTTCCTACACTATATCCTTATATACAACCTATCTTTTATATAATACCACCACTAAATTAACTATTTCTATGAATCCGGTGTTCATCTTGTTGTGCTAACGAGATATGGCAACTTGAACCGATGCATATGTGTTCCTGGTCCTACGTTGTAGCTGACTGACTGATTTAGGGGGTTCCTTTAGTAACCTAGGATGCGATTCATCGGGTCCTGCGGATTTGCCTATATCAAGCTTACTTAACAGACCAAAGACATCGAGTTTTTTAATGATCATATTGTCCGGTGTATGTGGGGGATTTGTATGAACTGACGTTAAGGGGGTTTCTACGACATATACATTTCTAAAGTGGTTTGGGAATACTTGAACATTACCATAGTCGTCCTCCACTGATGATGAAGCATCACTGTCTCCTCGTAGTGCTTGACTATTTCCCCTTTTTTAATCCTTTGGTTTATATACAAATGCAGGCGTTAAGGCCATTCTATAGATTCCTTAACAATTTTTTCTTCAGACAACCTTCTAAACTTACAGAGGGTTGAGGTACAAGTACTTCGAGCTTCTCGGCTTTGAGATTTTGTCTCTTCAGTACCCAGTAACCCAAATCTTACCCACATTCTTCTCCTCTTACAGAGAAGTGTGTGAATCTCCCTACTGAACCATGATGGGGAATTTCTCAAACCCCTCGGTTTAGTCCAAGAGATGTGGGATGCAGTGTCTTTTAAGTACACATTTCGAAATACAACCGAAATTGTCTCGATTTGAAACTCTGGCTCTATTTTCCAATCTACTGACGATGCTGAGTCTATAATATCTTCCATATTCGCTTTCCATACGTTAGGTCTGGGTTGAACTGACAACTATATAGAAGTCAAAAACTAGAACTGCATGATCACTTTCACCTAGGAGTGGCATGTAATCGAGATTCGTGACGTCATCCTCATAATGGGTCAATATAAGATCTATTAAGGATGATTCAGAGTCTGGGACGTACCTAGTCCTTTTTTCACATGTTGCACTAGGGCACATGTGATAACCGCATCAACTAATTCCTGCTTGAATAAATTTTCTGACAATTCAGTTCTCAGATTTTTCTGGTCTACTGTGGGTGCATTAAAGTCATCTAGGGTTAGACGTCGACCACTTTGTGATCATGTGTTGAGACCGTCTGGCTAAACTTCATTTACCTCACAGATTTGACTGCAGTAGACCAGACCAATGAGCATCTCCTGTCCCTTGCATTTCAAGTGGCAACTAACTAATTCACACGTCCCACTCTTATGGAATGCGTTATCAATAATGGCGAATGAGGAAGTATTCCTGATGAATAGATCTACTCTTCCTCCTTTACGATTCTGGACTCAGTCGACTTTTACTTACGTGAAACCTTCAATATCAAGTTCCATACTGTCTATAGTCTGCGTCAGCCACGTTTCTGTGACTGCGATTACATCTGGCTTGGTAGAATCAATCTGCACACCTAGTTCAGACGGCTTATTGAGCAAGCTCCAGGCATTCGTGTAACAGATCCGAAGCTTATTTGAAAGACTTCGTGCTGCACTCATAGTGGCTTCGGAATCATTCTCTGTCGAAATCTCATAACTTGAAAATCTACAATTTTTAGGTCTTTTTCGGCAGCATCTAACCTAAGTTTTAGTTCTTTTTTAGCTTCTCGTCTTTTTGCACGGTTTGTGAGCGGCTAATCCTTATGGACAAAAGCTCGGATATATGACCCTTAACGTTCCTTCGTTCAAGTACTGAAAAAACTTACGAATAGCCCATAAAACCCTAAAGCCTTTAGCAACAGCAGCCCTACTGTTACCCATAGTTTTAAAGTTACTACTTAACATGACTCCTAGATAATTATAGTCCGTTACTTTGTGTAACACAACACATATTGTGTTGTGATATGGCATCGGATAGCAAGCCTTTAGTGTATGGCCAGCACTGCCAACACAACCACAAACAACGATTTTTGCCAAACCTTTTAAATGCTTCAGGCTTTAGATTCCTGCAAATTTCGTGGTACTATCATTTGAACTTTCCACTACATGCCACTTTCCATTGGTATCGACAGCCCGGGTGCTGCAAATTTCTTTTTTTGCACTGTCCATCTACCAATCAGAGGCTTTCGAAAGAAACTGAACTCAAACAATACCCAAATGAAAGAGGATCATTTTGAAGATAAAAAGTCAAAAACTGTTCGGACCAAAAGTGTAAACAAATAAAAAAGAACCAATGTATTCAAAAGTACAGTTGATAATTTACTTTTGAAAAACGGTACTCTTAGAGGATACTTTGTCTGAAATAAATTCACATAAAGTTAAATCAGTAATTTTGATGAGTTATTCATGGTCAGAACAATAAAATAAGTTCAGAAATAAAAATAGTACTATCCTTTTAAATAGCGCGCAGATCAAGTCGGTATACACCCAACCGTAACATGCTTACCATAACAGTTAATTAGAAAAGAAAATCATCATTTGAAGCTTTCAAAATACGAAATAAAATGACTTTTATCAACATGCTGTTTTAAACTACGTTTTAAATTCGCACATTGTTTTGGTTGCTTTTGATTGGTCGTTCAAGGGCATTGGTTTTAGTGAATTTAGTATGAAATGCTTCAAGAAGTTCCTAAGTTTTCTAATTAACGTTTGAACTTCTAAGAATTAAATATTTTGTTTCACTCGTTATCCCTAAAGTTTGTATCTGTTATCATCGTCAATTTAGGCTAGAGCAAATTTGTCAGCTGATTACCAGTTTTCGAAGGTCTTAATTGAGACTTTGTGTTAACCATGTGTTAACTGAGAGACCCCTATCACAAGGGTTCTCACAAGCTACCCAGTTTGATGTCGCTCCAAAAGTAGAATTCTATTTCTTTTCCAAAACTGTCCATTATTAAAGAACTAGTCAAATAGTTGCCGCGAGGAATTGTTTTTATCACGCACCTCTTAACTTAATAGAATACCACTTGACTCAATTCAGTCTATGGCAGCGGAAAAATAAACAAGCGATTCGTAAACCAGTGTACAGACAATATATTACTAGTACAGCTAAAAAGTCCAAAACTAAATATTACACCATTAAATTAGTCTCATAAAATGTTTTTTTTCCGGGCTTTATTTCCAAGTTTCATGCAGCGAGACTTGATATGAACAATGAAACAACGGGATGAATAACCTATAGGAGCACCCCGTAAACTTGGGAAGCCATATAAGAAACGGAAGCAAATGGTAATTGTTTATGTGCACACAAACATGTGGTCTGGAAACGCAAATATATGTAGCTTATACTCCGTTTTACTTCGGGCATAACCTAAGCTAAACTTCGTTGATTTACTAAGGTCACTAGGTGATAGATGTCAATTCTGACACTATAATCATTATAAATAACATTTGTAACCTACAAAGTCATCATAGGGCTTCTGATCTAATTGAGCTGTTGTTGTACCTGGTTCTTCAGATGTTTAAAGTGGAAATCCCTAAGACCAGGAATCCGCACTGCGTGGATTGTTTTGCTTCGTTCCAAATTTTGAGTTTTCAGTGAGAAACACCAACTTATCCGATTAGATAAATCTCAAATGTCTGACCATTACTACCAATCCACATTCGTCCCAAGTAATGAAGACTCACTAACTCACAATCTGTTATCATCCAACAAAGCATTGCGATTCGTGGTTTTGTGTTTTTGTATATTTATTTATAACTTCATATATCGGAGTTTAATTCCTAACAGATGTTTACGGTTACATCTTTTTGGCAATCATAACAGTGCGAGTATCTTGTACTGTCAAATTACAGAGACTTCATACACGAAACCTAACTAAGAATTCCAAAGAATCATCTCTAATGAAATACTATTCAGGTTATTGGTCCTTGGTTCTCAAGCTGACATCAGTTCAGGGCGGAGATTATCTTCAAATCAGCGGGAATTTTTACAAACAGTAAATTGCCTTATTATCATATAACCTTCAGCAATCTACTTGGGAACCTTCTTCACCTTCTGTATTTCGTAACTTGTGAAATCAATAAGATCAAATAAGTGTCCTTCGATGGTATCGACTGTACTATGTCGTCAGATTACTGTGGTTAAACGACATAGACCACTAAATTTCAAGTTAGTAGATAAATAACGTGTTCATATCATGACTACTACTAAACGGTCTTGAATCAGAATAAAATAACTGTTCAGTTTCCTAGTGATTTTAAGGCTTCACTTGACTTAGAAGTCTCATCAGCCCTGATGGGCTGATGTTTTACAGAATCTTAATACGGATTCAAAAAGACTTGATTTTTGGCAATTTGTATTACTCATGAAGCAAGTGTGGTATCTATCTCACTATCAAAGGGTGAATAAAACTATGTAATACTCCACTATACTACTCTATGGCTGTGGAACCTGGCCTATAAAAGTAGAATATATGCTTTCGTTCCAGATGTTTGGTCGCAAGTGTTTTGAAAGTATTTCTCTTGTATCATAAAATGGCCAACTAAGCAGTGCTGAAGTTATCCATAGGGTTATTTTTATTTAAACACATAAATATTGGTACAAGGAAGCACCAGATACATATGCGCCTCACAAATCTCATTCGATTTGTGTGAGGGCTGTGATACTGAGCAGGTACCCAAATTGAAACAGGTGGGGGGGGCCACACCCCGAGCCTTCGACCTAAAGGTCTGATCCACAAGGCAGTGGAGCATCATAAGTAGATGCAGTCCCATGGTAACCGGTGACTAAGGATTGATTCATACGCCAATTGTCTCTTCAGGGTACTGGAGCCCATGTGCACCATTGGTTTGGATTGAGGGTTTTCCAACTCCCCTAGGTGGACTCGCCATGTCCACCAACTCGGTTAAAGCGCCGGACATTCACTTTTCGTCCTCTCAATTTCGTAAACATCAGTAATGCCACGAGAAGGCAGTGAGTAGGACTTCTCTGTCAGAGGCTATATACGTGTGGCCATGTGAGAGCATTTGGAGAGGGAGAGCTGACTTTCCCCACTCTCGGCCGTACCAGGGCATTGGGGGTCTATCCATAGGGTACTAAGCAAAGATATGTTTCCATGATTTATCACTTAGTCCGTAAACGTTTAGTTCTGTATTTTAAAACACAACAAACAAAGTTTATCAGTCTTTTCTTAAAAATAGGTTTTAGCTCATAGTGAGCGATGAAAGAAAGCGACAAATTTATTCCATCTTGTGAGCATCATGCAACAGAAGAATTATCATCAACCAAATCTGAGGATTCTAATCTTCATAACACTTCTGAAATTCCCACAAGCTTACCTAATCGAATTGAACTAGTTCGACCCATTTATCACCAAATTTCGGATTTTTGTTTCGATTTTGATTCGGGTAAGTTTCAAATTCATCACGTTTCATTAGTCCCATTGATTAGCAACACTAGCGTTTATTTCGCATTTCGTTCCCTTCAGAATAAGTGATTAATGGAATATGATAAAAATACCATGGTCGTATAATAATATTCCTGTTAAATTTAATGTCGGTTCACAATGTCTCTTAATAAGTGTTGCTTGAACTAAATAAAGTTCCAGGTAAAAAACTTATACTACTCTGAAGCCACAAACAATAATCTCTAACCTGATAATAAAGTATTTATCAGTTAAAATTCACCATGTAACCGTAAAGTCACGATTATGCTATTGTAGGGTGTTTTTACAAAGTAGTCTAGTCATTTCCTATAACTAAACTTTCTATCTGCTATTTTAGATAATATTCTCAAACAAATATCGAACTTTTCTGCAGCTGCTGTTTGAACTGACTGGATGATTATATAACTCATTTACCATATATAGGTTTATGTATTCGACTTAAAGCCATACTTTTCATGTGAGAGCTATTAATTCGTACTCTTTCCAAACTGAAATACATAAAGTTTAAATATTCGACCTATCACTAGTTGAAAGTCGATTGCTGTAAGCACTTAGCAAACTGGCCATTCCCTAATCAATGCAGTATATTTCCGATAATATCAATATTTTCATCAGTTTATAAATGTTATGAATTAGAACCTTATAACCCCCAACCGTTGCTGCTACCTTGACATGGTGGTCGGGCTTGCCTATCGTGATGAACCAATCGAGCTATGCTGGCTGGAATAATCGTCCTTCAAGGTCCTACCATGCCAGACAGGTCGGTTGAAGAGCAGTAAGACTAAAAGCAGCAATCCCAATGTCCGAAGGGGAAGTCGTACTGCCGAATGTACAGAGGTGTGACGGCAGCAAGGTGTTTCCTTCAGATAACCAGCATAACAGCGATGGTGCCCTCAAGGAGGGGTGGGGTTAGAAAAGGTCGACTCTAAAAATGCACACCTCGCCTTATCCCACGGATTTCCGCCTCCGGCGGTAAGGTCCTTTGAAGAACGGAGCTAACACGTCAAAAATCCCCCACAAAAAAGCCGTGCGTGACCGGCCTCAAGCAGTTGTCCCTTGGGCACTGCGGTCACGCTCCCAGGTCGTTAAGACAAACACTAATCCAATTTCTTTTTCAGGTCCCTTAAGAAATACCCTTCCACGGTGTGGGCAACCGGGAAGTGATATTAGCCTTCATACCCGTAACAACACACGAGATCAAGTTGGTCACATTCAAATCCTTCCTACACCTCCTAATAACTCTCTTATCTCCACGACTAACCCTTCCCACGTCCTTTTATCACCTCGCACCGCTAGGGCAAACGATTCGAGTATACGGAGCGTTATTCCTGGTCTCCTAAAACCACGCTCTAAACTACATGTAGGAACTTTTAATGTCCGAACATTGTGTCAAATAGGACAACAGGCTTCCTTAGTTAGAACTTTAAAATCTCACACTATTGATGTGTGCTGCGTCTCCGAAACGCGCATACAAGATCCGAGTAGCGTCATTCATTTGACTTCACCTTATCAAAATAAAGAACCATCTCGATACACGCTTCGTGTATCTGGAAGCCCTGATGTTGCATCCCGTGGCCTCGCTGGAGTAGGTATAGCATTAAGTCCTAGGGCAGAACTAGCTCTTTTAGACTGGATCCCAGTAGACAGTCGTCTATGCGCTAAACGGATCAGTAAGAACTCGGAAAGATAGGGAAACTCGTCGTCTCTGCCTACTCTCCCACTGACTGCAGCTCAGACGATATAAAAGATGAGTTATACAGGTAACTTTCTGACCTCCGAAAAGCTAGGCGCTCTGATGTAGTAATAGTGGCAGACGACTTTAATGCTCAAGTAGTAAACTAAGTGAAAGGGAAAGATACTTGGGCGGATCTTATGATGTCGTGGCTCAAAGAACAGATAATGGCGACCGTCTGTTGTAGCTGTGATTAGATAACCGCCTATTTCTTGCAAATACTAACTTTAAGCATAAGGAAAAATATCTTCTGACATAGCGACCCCCGAATTCGTTCCAACGTTGGACCCAACTAGATCACATCGCTATCAGCCACCGATGGAGGGGCTCGATAGAAGACTGTCGCTCATTCTGGAACACATGTTTAGATTCAGATCATGCTCTAGTGAGAGCACGTATCTGTCTGCGTCTTACTGGACACTGCAGGGAAGCCTCTAAGGGTTCTACTTAATGATAGGCAAGCTAAGAATATATTTCAGGAACAACTAGAAAAACACTTAGGCAGACATGTAAGTTGTGCCTACCCCAAGGCAGCGTGGAATGACATCCGAAAAGCTGTGGGAACAGCCGTGATATCCGTTAGTAAGGTAAACCATAAGGTTAGGGAGAAACAATGGATCTTGGCGGCATCTACCGCTCTGATAGATGCTCGAAAACTCATCCCACCTGGCTCTGAACATAACGAAGAGCGGAGTCAGCTTAAGCGCAGGCTAATAAGAAGCCCACGCAATGATCGTGAACAGTGGTGGTTAGCGAAAGCAAGAGAGATGGAAAAGGCAGCGGAAATAGGTAACAGTAGACAGCTATTCAGACTCGTTAAAGAAACCGGTACTAGGAACCCGAATATCAGTGAAACTATCTCAGATAAAGATGAGCATATCATTCATTCTCAATCCAGGAGATTGGATCGATGGGCAAAACACTTTAGGGATCAGTTCAACTGGCCTTCAGCCACACTTCACTTACCCACGATCCCCAGTCGTCCTGAATGGCGAATTGAGGTAAGTCCTCCAACTCTCTACGAGGTTGAAAAAGCTACAGGAAATCTAAAGCGAGGAAGAGCAGCAGGCCTTTACAGGTTTACATTAACCTCATAAAGGCTCTCTACTCGAACACAACTGGTCGAGTTAGAGCCTATGGTGAACTGTCATCAGAATCGATCACCTCAAGTGGTATCCGTCAGGGCTGTCCACTCTCCCCATTCTTGTTTAACATTGTCTTTGACATGCTTTTGGAGATAACACTTTCCTCATCTAAATTTCCAGGAGTTGAACTTTTACTGGGAGGCTCACTTATTGACTTAGAATACGCCATTGACATAGTTCTATTTGGTGAAGACGCTGACAAAATGCAGAGTCTTCTGACTACCATAAGCAACTATGCAGGCATGTTCGGAATGCGATTCTCTCCCTCGAAGTGCAAAATGTTACTTCATGATTGGGTTGCATCGACACCTGAACTAATGATAGGGAGTGAAGTAGTTGAGCGTGTTGACCGCTCCACTTATCTTGGGAGTCTCATCAGCCCTTGTGGTCTGGTGTGTGACGAAATCTCAGCAAGGTTACAGAAGGCTCGTCCAGCTTTCACCAACTTGCGCCATTTATGACATAGGCGAGATATCCGTCTATCAACAAAAGGACGGGTTTACTGTGCAGCAGTTCGTTCGTCCTACTTTATGGCAGTGAAACATGGCCGATAAGAGAAGAGGACATTCGCAGGCTACTGGTACTCGATCATAGGTGTCTTCGAAGCATTGCTCGTATATGCTGGGACCACCGGGTAAGTAATGCAGTTGTTAGGAAACGGGTATTAGTTAAGGATGGCAAATCAATTGATGAAGTAGTGAAACTTGATCAGTTGAGATGGCTGGGACACGTGTTGCGTATGCCCAACCACCGACTTCCCCGACGTGCAATGCTTTATGGTGTAGAAGTAGGGTGGAAGGAAGCTAGGGGCGACCGGACCAAAACGTGGCATAAATCCATGAAGTCGCTGACAATTGGACTGAGCCATGTTGGTAGGTGTAGACTACCTGGTTGGGATTCGCGAGATGATAGCAACCGATGGTTAGAGACCTTGAATGACATGGCTCAAAATTGTTTGCAATGGCTAAGGTGCATCCACTCTTTGTGTTCTCCCAGATTCTAATCTTCTGAATTCCTCATGTTCCTATCTTTTTTCCCTTTCCAAATTTATTTCACTGTATTATACTCCTTCAATAACATCTTCAAACCCTAATCTTTCACATAATGCTTATATTCTTACTACTTCTACCACTATGAGATTTGAATCGACAACTGCATCTCTGTGCTGATGTGGTATGGCAACTCGAACTGATGTACGTACGTACAAAGTTCTACGTTGTGACTTACTGAGAACCTTATGACCAAATAAACGGATTGTTGGATTGTTCAGTGAGTGAATCCCATCGCGATCGATAGTCAGCTATTCTACAACTATCCATTGTTTCCAAACAGCCTGAATAGAACATTGTAATAGGTCCCCCGATTTTTATTGAAGTTCAAAACAGCTAAAGCTAATCTGAAACGAACAAGATCAGCTGGTCAAGATGGATTCACTTCAGAGGTTTCTAAGATTTGAGGTCTAGTTTTAGCGATTAGATCGACTAATATTTTAGCTAAAATCTGGAAACTGAAAGTAATCCCATCTGACTGGTCTCAATCACTGATTGTTCCAGTATATAAGAAGGGTTCAAAATTATCCTGTGATTACCATAGAGGGATTAGTTTGACTAATATAGCATCTGAAATACTATCCTCAATAATTATCGGGCTCCTAACTATGACTCGTGAAATCCAAACACAAAATCAGGCTGGCTTGAGACCTAGTCGTGGCTGCATCGACCACATATTCATTATTCGTCAGATCGTAGAACACATGTATGCTTATGGTCGTCCGATAATGGTGGTCTTTCTTGACTTAAAAGCAGCATTTGACTCTGTAGACCGAGAGGCTCTGTGGCAGTGTGTCATTGAACCTCCTTCGATAAGTGGACCTCCTGGAAGGAGGTCCACTTATCGACTTAGAATACGCAGTCCTGTTTGGTGAAGACGCTGATAAAATGCAGAGTCTTTAGCTAACACTGAGCAGCAATGCGAATTTGTTTGAGATGCGTTTTTCCCCCTCTAAATGCAAGTTGTTGCTTCAAGACTGACCTGCGTCAACACCTGAACTAAGGATAGAGAGTGAAGTAGTCGAACGCGTCGACAAATTTGCTCATCTTAGAAGTCTGTTCAATCCTAATGGGTTGGTGTCTGACGAAATCTCTGTACGGATTCAAAAAGCTCGTTTACCTTTTGTCACTTGCGTCACACAAATCGAATGAGATTTGTGTGGCGCATATTTATCTGGTGCTTCCTTGTACCAATATTTATGTGTTTAAATAAAATAAAATAAGTCACCTACGGTGAAGGCGAGGTACCCGTCTATCGACTAAGAAACGAGTATACTGTGTGGCGGTTCGTTCTGTTCTACTTTACGGCTGCGAAACGTGACCAATAAATGTAGAAGATACTCGTAAGTTACTAGTATTTGATCACAGATGTCTTAGAAATATTACTCGCATCTGCTGGTATCACCGGGTAAGTAATAGTGAGGTTAGACGCAGGGTATTAAGGAATGATGGTAAATCAGTTGACGAGGTTGTGAATCTTCGTTGACTGAGGTGGTTCGGCCACGTGTTACATATACTTGAACACCGATTACCACGACGCGCTATGCTGACTAGTATTGGGGATGGTTGGAAGAAAGTTAGGAACGGCCAAACCAAAACGTAGCATCAGAGCTTGAAGTCACTACTAGTATGAGCTGTGTTGATAGATGCAGACTAATAAGTTGGGGTCCGCAAAACTATCGTAACTAATCGTTAGAGACTCTGTGTGACATGGCTCAAAATCGATCACAAAGGCGTAGGTGTGTACACTTTGTCTCCCCTTAGACCGTGAGATTAAAATTACTTCATACCTATATTTCTACGAACTAATGCTTTCTCCCTGTATTATATCCTTATACACAATCTTTTATATATTACTACCATTGAAGTAACTACTTCTATGAATTCGGCGTTCATCTTTCTGTGCTAATGGGGTGTGGCAACTTGGACCGATGTTTATATGTGCCTGGTTCTACGTTATGAATGACTGACTGATCGACACTCAAAATGCAGTGATATGAGATAGTCAAGTGATGCCCACCACGTGATTAAATATCATAGGCACTTGGAGAAAGTGTTGTAGGTTACCCGCATTCTAATAACTTAAAATCTTCCCCCACATATCAGTAAAGGTGCATAAGATTTCTTTGATCCTACTACTGACTGACAATTTTTGAATATCACTTATATGGATTACCGTCATGTTATGTCACTTAAATGGAAGCTATCGAACATCGGTTAAATTCTCTTCAATTGTTTGAAGTCGGCTACATACGTGGCTGAGAAGACCTAATGACTTCAAATAACAAGGTAAAACATGTTGGTATATTATCATAGATTAGATAAACAAATTTTAAATTACTCACAAACTACCCAGTGCATATGATATCAAAATCTTCATAAAATGATCTGTATGACATTCTAGACTCTTTAAAAAAGTGCTACCATGTAGTATGAGTAGTCTGATATAAATCAAACTAATCAACCAACTTTTCTACTCAGATTTATGTGGAAACAAAAAGTGTCCAACAAAAAAATTCGTCTTCATATTTCCTTATTTGGTCTTGAAGTTTGCTAACCTCCTACGAAATGTTCATTTCTAAATGAATACATTTATTTCTAATGTTAAAGCCTAATTGATTTTGCATAGAATTCGTTAATCATGTAAATGAAATATTTGAGGAAAGAAATCCACCTAAAGAGCAAAAGTCCATTTTAAATGCTATAAATAAGTAATTAAATCATCGATAACTACACAAAACAAGTAAGTTGATCATAATTAATTTAAAAAAACTATAGACTACTAAAATGCATGTATTACTAATTTATACAAGCTAAAATATTTCGTATCTACTTAGTTTCTATAACACTTGCAATAATTATTGATTTAAGCTGTAGACTTTTTTCCCGTTTTGTTTACTGTAAGCCAAATATCTAGGACTGTTTAAAGAATATCCTAACTATTTTTTTCCTGCAATCTTTTCCTGAATTATTTTCTCAATTCTTGCACACTGTAAACTTAATGTTTCAATAATTATATTCCAGAAGGTATTCTTCGTCATATTCAAACAGGAGACACATTCTGTGTAAAGGTAACTTCAACAGGCCCTTCACTTAAAAGACAAGAAATTATTCGTGCAGTAAGTTTACTCGATTTAAGTATTTTAAGGATTACTCATTTTTCCTCGTTCCATTTATTTCCACAGAAGTGGCCTAATGACCTTAAAGAATCAGCTTAATGTTATTAGGCTGCAGGTTTAATTTCTTTTCTTCATATACTAATCTAATATCATTAGCTTTGGTGGTATAAGTGCAATTTTTAAAACAGAATACACCAATTCGCAATTGATAACTGAAAAAGTTTCATATTCTGTGTGTTTCGTAAATTACATTCTAAATATAAGTTATTTATTCAAAACTACGTACCATCACACTTCCGAATCGAATATATACTTCTGCACTTGCTAAAACCTCTGCTAGTATCAGCTAAAAAAGAATTTTAAATTATGGCTTTTAAAGTACTTGAACTTCATACCAAAAGTTTGATCTGGAGACCTTAGTGGCTAATGCTCAACTATACCTCAAATTATTCCTTAAATACCGTTGTTTCTCTCATTTATCTTGTTGCAAATCCCATCGACCCAAATAAAGTAGATTATCTGAAAAGTTACATATATAAATAGTTTCTTGTCATATATCAACTGTATATAGATAATATCTTTGCGTCACTGTCTACTTGGCTGTTGTTTCTATGCTATGGTTTATTATTTATAAATTATGAGTAATTTGCGCTTCCCGTTATATTGCTGTGACACCAGAAAAGTCTCATATTTTGGCTTTGGATTCTAATTATTACTCAGGTTATATATACAAAATCACTATCCGTGTACATATTTGACACTTGAAATCAAACTATAATCTACCAATAATCTTCTGTATTTTCACTCAATGTCACGTTCCAAATAAATAGAATAATACACGAGTGAGTTCATAAATACACACATTATGTATGTGAGTATGCTTCATCAAAAAAACTTGTAAAATCTTACTTTGTTATCGAATTAAATTTTATTTATTTATTTAAGCACATAAATATTGGTACAAAAGGGCACCAGATATATATGTGCCACACAAATCTCATTTGATTTGTGTGAGGGCTGTGATACTGAGCAGGTACCCAAATTGAAACAGGTGGGGGGGGCCACACCCCGAGCCTTCGACCTAAAGGTCTGATCCACAAGGCAGTGGAGCATCATAAGTAGATGCAGTCCCATGGTAACCGGTGACTAAGGATTGATTCATACGCCAATTGTCTCTTCAGGGTACTGGAGCCCATGTGCACCATTGGTTTGGATTGAGGGTTTTCCAACTCCCCTAGGTGGACTCGCCATGTCCACCAACTCGGTTAAAGCGCCGGACATTCACTTTTCGTCCTCTCAATTTCGTAAACATCAGTAATGCCACGAGAAGGCAGTGAGTAGGACTTCTCTGTCAGAGGCTATATACGTGTGGTCATGTGAGAGCATTTGGAGAGGGAGAGCTGACTTTCCCCACTCTCGGCCATACCAGGGAATTTGGAGGCGAATTAAATTGTGTAAAATAAAACTTAACATCCTATACACATGTAGATTCTTGAACATAATATGGAAACTATTTTAGAGGGATAATAATGCTTAATTTGATTACCTTTTAATTTTACATTCTGAAGTTTGTTCAATTACTGGGATGCTCTTTTTCTATTTCTTATTCTAATTTTATGATTAATTTTTGTTTCAAATATATTCTGTGAATGAAAAATAATGTTAAGAATCTCGAGTAATTTTATTTCCTTTCTTTAGAATGTAACTCGATCATTTTGCCTTCTGTGCGTTTTTAATTGAACTATGTTTAGAATAAAAATCAACATTTTTTTTATGAAGTACACTATTGTGTTAATGTTTACTGGAACTATTTATTTAACTTGGGTAAGATCTTCTTTTATAAACTTTAGACTTCTTAACGTAAATAACAATAGTTTAAAACGAAATTATCTATTCTGTATCTAGATTTGTACTCGCTTAATTCGTCAACGTTTATTTGCTTTAAATATGGAATCAAGTCAAATTCCGGTAAGATTATTCTAAACTAACTGTATAGTTTGTGTATGATTGGACTAAATAAATTTCATTTCGTTATGTATGGAAAAAACCAGTAATACTTTTTTTTCTATCATAACTCAATAAATCAAGTTCTAAGGGATTAGTATATGATGAATTTTACAATTATTAACTTACAATACTCAGTATTTATGTGATTTTTTGTAGATAATTGAATAAGTGTGTTATACAAAGTAAAACCTTACTCAAATTTACTGCTTTGATCTAGATTATAAGGCTAAGATATAAAAAACGTGGGAATGATAACATTTGATTATCAGCGTTTTCAAAGCTCAGGTTTTGTCGGGTCGAAACATTACATTAGAAATATTGATATTAGTTATATAATTGTATTTGGTATTTTTCTCGTAATGACTGAAATCGTTTGTTGAATGTTCATTTAATGTTTGCAGCAGTAAACTTCATAGTTAGTCTACACTAGAGAATAAAGTATAACCAGGTTAATGGCATTTCGGCGATACATAGTTTTTACAATTTATTCTCTAAGCTATCTAATTAGGTAAGTTACTGACTTAGTGTGCTAAATGATGGCCTAAGTACCGCCCTCAGTGGTATTACATTATTTTTATTCGATTAATATAAACCTGGATTATGAAGGCCTCCACATTTCAGGGGAAGCACGAAATACAATGGGCAGCTTGGATGCAACTAGACGATTTAGACTTCGTAGGTGACCTGACCACACACACTAACAAATGCAGCTCTAGATAACAAGTGCAGCTGAAACCTTTGTATCAGTAGGCCTCAACATGTACAAGGGAAAAAGCATGATCCTCAAATACAACACGGAGAACACCAATACAATCACGCTTGATAGAGAAACTCCGGAAGAGGTGGAAACTTTCACGTACCTGGACAGCATCATCGATGAACAAAAAGGATCCGATGCAGACTTAAAGGCAAGGATTGGCAAAGCAAAGAAAGTATTCCTACAGTTTTAGAATATATGAAACTCGAAACAACTGTCAACCAAACTTAAAGTCAGAATCTTCCATACACATGTCAAGGCAGTCCTGTTGTGCGGAGCTGAAACTTGGAGCACTATTACAACCATCGCCATAAGAGTACAGGTATTTATAAATAGCTTTCTACACGAGACCCGTTGGCCAAACACTATCAGCAATAGTTGACTGTAGCAGAGATGGAACTAGCTTTTATCTGAAGAGGAAATTAGTATAAAAAAGCTGTATTTTGATAGGAAACACTGGAAATCGTCAAACTGCATTGAGAGGACAGTCGTAGCTTGGAATGGAATCGTGAAGGCAAAAGCTAAAGAGACAGGAAGAACAAAATATTTCACTGTAAATTGAAGGCAGACGTCAAAAGAACAAGTAGAATTTGGCAACTGTTGGTAAGCAGAGCCCAGAATAAAGTAGACTTTAGATTCCCGGTAGGCGGCCTACGTTCTACGAGGGGTAACAGGCGTATGTAAGTATTATAAACCTTCACACAAGTTTATCATTTATGTATTCATCCACAAAGATTTGATGTAGTAAGGGAATTTTATAAACTGTGATTCAGCTTAGGTTGCAAACTGTGAGGAGATACTTATGATAATATCAACAACTATAATCAGTATAAAACACAGAGGGACAAAAGATAAGTAGTTCAGTATAATCACGAAACTCATCAAGTTGCTAGTTTACAACTAATAAAATTGTGCAATAAATTCTTGGTTACTTATAAGTAGTCTATTCCATTAATAACTTGTTATTTTATTTTTCTTTAAAACAATTCAATAGATTCCTGGACATCCTACTCACTGTATGAGAGTTTTACATTCTAAAAATTTTTTTACCCATAAAGGTCCCATCATTATTTTATTACAAGGTGGTGGAATTGCTCAGGCTGGTGTTTGGGCTCCACGCCTTCTATTACATCCTCAACATGGTCTACAGTCTGGCAGTCAAATATCTTTAGTCAAAAAAGCACATGAACAAGGTTATGCGATAGCTATTATCAATGCAAATGAACATGTCCCGAGTGAAGCAGAAATGGATGCTATGGAAACATTTCCTAATCCTTCTTGTCCATTATTCAATGTTACAGAATGTACACGTATCGATCTTAATCTTAAGTCACCTGATCATGACAACAATCATGATGTACCAATATATCTCACTTTACCTGATCATTCAAATAAGCTAGTATTACCTGTGCTTGACAATAAATCTCACCATTCGGTTGCTCTTGATTCAAAGTACGTTAAAAACTGTATTAGACAAAATAAAGTTATTTTCATCTTTGTATTACTAAGGAATTTGGTGTATACATGATCACTTTTTAACAGTTATAGACACCATAATAAAATTGTTAAATTGATCCAGTTTTGTCGTGATTGAAAGCTATTATCTGACTTATATTTTCTAAGTCATCTTTCTGTTTCTTAAAAGCTAATACTAGCTATTCGTTTGCCAGAGTATAAACATAAGTTCTTCAGTTCAGATGAAGTGAGTATTCGAATCCTTGGAGAAGGTAAACCGTTTCATCTACCAGGCATTTGGCCTTTTTTTATATAATTAGTAACTATTCTAAAAATCCTATCGTAACCAAATCCCCATCTTTATTGTTGAATATCTTTTGAACCCCATATATTCGGCTCATATCAATGAAAATCTTTAAATTATTGTTTGAATTGTGATGAGTTCGTTAGAATGAGTTACAGATCAAATACTTATGTATTATCAGAGGATGAGCTACTCACATCTGAAAACCTTCATTCTTCTCTACCCTTCGCACTTCTGAGTAGTCTCATATCAGAACGAAACAGCTTTCTAGTGATTCCTGGTTTTCATTGGTTATTTGACCAAGTCATTCTGTAGTTTTAAACAGTAAAATAAACATATCTACAATCTATATAAGAACTTTCGTCTAAATTAGAGCGTATGGTTTCACAGTATTTGAGCGCCCAGTTGATGTAGGACATTAAATAGGAATAATATATGTGTAAAATCTCAGCGAATGAATTTGAAGTGAATCCAACGTTTCGCCTGGCAATTAATTCCTTGAAAAAGCTTGGACTAGATCGCCAGGCGAGACGTTGGATTTACTTCTAATTCATTCGCTGAGATTTTACAAATATATTATTCCTATTTAATATACACAATCCTTTTCTTTTCTATGACCACTTAGCTTGAAATTGATATTTGTCTTTCCCGTTAAACGATACCTTGTATAGAACCTCCATTTATTTTAAATTTTATGCTTTATTGTTTATTTTGTTCTTTGTATTACATAGCTTTCTCCTTGTCATTGTTCTACTGAAAACTCTTTCGCCCGAAAATTAAGTTAGTGAAACCCTACACCTTTCATGCCTGAGCAAAATACCAGACAGTTTCATCATACGTTGGTCACGTTTATATATTTCCTTGTATATTTTGTGGAATTTTTTTGTTCTTACAAAAGTTTAGAAAACCCAATACTGTTTGTACCATGTAAATCATCTGCTGAACAAGAATCCAAACAACTATTTCGATCGTATTTGACAAGAGCACCGTCATCATCATCAGCTTTATCATGGTTACTGACTGGATCGAATTCTACATCCAGTTCAACTATGCGAACAAATTCTGATCTACAGAAAACACCTGTTTGTTGTGTGAATTCAATTTGTTCAACGAATGAAACTCGTTTAACTTCATCGACTACTGATTTGACGTTGAATACGCATGTAAAATCTGTTGGTTCAACGGTTAGCGCACCTTCTCCATCATCATCCTCAATGCTAAATGCTACTCATTCACTTAACTACGAATCACAGTCACAAAAACCTGCGTTTTTAGTTCCATCTAATAGCATCGCTCTTAAGAATTTGACACGAGTGAGTCTTAATCATCATTTAATGATTTTACACTAGTTGCTTTATAGTATATCATCTTAGGATTCGTTGATAATAACTTCAACTATGTTCATTGTTCATTTTCTGTTTGTAAAACTTTGATAGTTGTTTGTAGAAATACTTCACTTAAATTTTAACAGCATTTGAGTGGGTTGCCGGCTTTAATATCTGACAGTTTAATACCGAGAAAATTCGAAACTAAAATCACTTAAGGGACACGTGACTAGAATTTAGTTCAGCTTCCTGATAGATGATTGATCAACTGTGGCCTATTTAAAGTTTTATCTAGAAATCTTAAAAATCTGTGGATCAAATGGAGAAAATCTCATGATTACCATAAGGTACAATAGTTATATATTTGTCATTTTCATCAGAATAAACACATCTTAATTCGAATAAAATTAAGCTTCTTTTACAAATTGTTGGAAACCAGCAGAAGTTAATCAACATCTAAGAAAATAATCAGTACAATATAGCCTGGACGATTCCACTATTGTCATCTATTAATTCATATAGTCTAGTTGTACTAACCACAACTGTAGTGAAAATTTATTTTTCACTATCAATGAAGTATTTGCTATATAGTTGTAACTACTTGTTAATAATATAGTTCCGTTGCTTTTTACAAATGTTTCATGTATTTCGCTAGCTTTTACTGTCTGACATAACCGCGAATGCGATTCAGCGAGTAAATCCTTGTGCATTTAATTTTTTTTAGCTGACGTATGAAATTGTATAACCGTTGACTACAGTACGAATTCGCCCATTTTAAAAACAAAATACAAGAGTATACCATATATTTGGTGTTTTGAGGTCGTATATTGCGAGTGAAATAAATTTCAGATAGGTTCAGTTTCTCAAACGTTTAGGGTGCGATTGTGAAGTTATTTATACGGTCATTGCTAGCTCTATTTCTTATTTTCTATCATAATACCATTAGCTATTAAAATGTGTTAGGTCTGAAATCGGTTCCCTTATCAGTTTCTGTCGGGTATGTTTAATCCACAGGAAACCGCTCATTTACCGTTTATTTTGTTAATTTGCGAATTTAGCGATCCTTTTTTTTACGATGTTTATAGATGCTGTTTTTTATAAGTTCATAGCTCTTTTACTCAGCTTAATTTCTGCTCTATTTTGAATGTCAGTGTGCCTATGTTTTTGCACGTGTGTTGCTCGTTCACATCGATCTTAAGTCTCTACCAAATAAATCTTCCTGTATTTTAGTGTATCTGAGACTAGGTCAGAGAGGAGATTTTTTGTACCCAGGTATCAAATGTGAAGCTAGAAGTCATTGCTTATCAATACCGAAGCCATTCAGTACTCAAAGTTTGAGCTCCGAGTAATAAGTAGCCATTTATCAAAAATATACAGCTAAAGTAGTTGTTAAAATACACCTGTGCTACTTAAAATGAATATCAGTGGGCTAAGTCTGTACACTTTTTTAATTTCTCAGCAAATCACTAAGGTAGCAATGTAATGTTGGAAGTTGTATTAGGAAGATTAAATTCGAATAAGATTTCATGCGCATTGATAATGAACAATCATGTTTTGGCATCTTATCGCACAGAAATGAAATTGGTTTCAAAGTACATTTTGTCTTTTTAATCCGATTAGTGAAAGTTCTCATTTTGAAATTTAGTAAAAAGAATGAATAGAACGAAAGAATTTCTTTTCATCATGGTTCTATACTGATATATTCTTATATGATTTACTCGATGAGCATTATTTCGTTGTTGCAAATTATATATATATATATATATATATATATATATATATATATATATATATTCGTGTAGAGTCATAGTGAATGACTAATTGAAAAGAAATTTCTTCTCTCTATTCATTCTTCCAACTGAGTATTGTACCTTTGATGTGTAACACATTTTCCCGTACAGCATACAGTGTATTTTTCTTTCGTTTTCTATTAATTCTATGGATATTGCGGCAACCTTTAACGCAAGATAGTTTTTATATACAATAATCATAACAATTAAAACAGACATTTTTACTGCCTTCATAAAATAGCAGACATAAAGTGACTTTAAACTTAAATGTTCTGTTTAATCGGATGATGTGTAGTTCTCGCTTATATTAAAAAAAACTACAAAATTACTAGTCTAAATATATTTTCTACCTACAATACTTTTTGCTGAATAAATATTTAAGTGACCTTAGTTTACTAAGATAATTTGTTAGCGTGACCGTTTAAGTGGGCGTATTAGATTAAGTATGTGATAATATGCTTTGTTATACTTCCTGATAGGCGAAAAAGTCTCAACAAAATTCAAAAATAGCCGCTTTATGTCAGGTAGTTGGTGATTGTCGGGAGGATCGGTTTCCTTCAAATTCCAAATTAAAGACTAGTCTTGACTAGCAGGAAACCTTGGTTTAGAGTTTCTTGTTGACTCCTTTCAACTACCACCATATATCAAAAGACAGTTTACTCAATATCGAATTAATTAGATCTGTGACCACATAACAACTTGATTGATAAGATTCGATCAGCACTAGAAAACTAGACAAACGAAAAATTAGTGATCAGTCAATGTGAACCTAGGTTTGTATTCTTCGCGATACATACTTTCTTCTTACATCTATATGAAAAATTTTCATCATATTTCAATTTTTGATTTTCAAGATCTATTTCATTATTGAAGAGTAGAGGTTCGACAGAGCGAACTTCATTCATAAAATCCAACAACATAAGAATTTTCTTCCTCTCTGTCCTAATTAAATTGATCGGTCGATCATCTGATTTTTAAATATAAGGAAAACGTTTTTCATCTTTTTATTTTACATGGTGGGAATTTAGTTTTCTGAATGCTAGAAACAGTAAAATATTATCGGAAAAGTTGAAAACACTAAACAGATTTCAGCTTTCCATTCTACATCATGGTAACCCGCTCTTTAGCGCCCGATAGTACCGTATGGTATCAATCCAATGCTTTACCTGAGTCATTAAATCGAGGATTTAATACACAAAACACTTGGTTTACTTACGATATTATCTTTCAAAAATATAATCGTCACTATGTTAATCAACTTTCCGGAGAATATATATGTAGGTTGATCTCATGAAAAATTCTCGACACTTGTTAGCACAATATCTCATTATTTTCTATGAATCTTCAGTGGATTTCGTGTTTGCTTTACGGAATGATGTTTTGTACCTGTCCTGTCCTGACATAAAACCAATTTACAAGATTATTGAACAACTATGAAATTAGTTATTAAATGCATGCTATTTTCCTCTTTTGTTATTTCCTCTTGCCTTGTGTGCGAAAGTCAACAAAAGGATATAAGGCTTTCCGAACTTACCTACTTAGTTGATCCGTAAAGGTTTTTGGTAATCTATTCAGTTTGTTGGTAGTATTCGCCACAGATTAGTCTCTTTCAGAGTACCATTTAGAACCAGACAACACTGAAAAATTGTTTCATCTTAGTATGGGACTCGTTAGCAGTCAGTCAGTCAATCGCCTCGTAGGACCCGGTACGTGTGTACATCTCTTCAAGTTGTTATGCCTCATTAGCACAGCGACATCAAACTGTTAGAGCGAATGCCAGAGTAACAGAGGCAGTGAGACTCGTTAACAGATAAAATCGATCCTTTACAAATACTACTTACAAATTAAACACGTTTCCACTAACCTCCTTTGAATAAACTGTAATCGCCAGTTCACCAGCGACTTCCTTCAATGCTTTCTTCAGTTTTTCAGTTAGAACTTGTAACCTGTAGAGTTCAGACATTTCGAAGGGTCAACGTTTGTCCCTAATGTTATTAAATGTTGGTCGTGCTTTATCGACCTAGTGGTTCTTCGGGTTAAGCGTTTTCTATAAGGGCTTAAGGTTCTAGGTCTGATCCCTAATGTGGTCGCGGATATATACTCCTGAGAAGCTACTAGGACTAGACAGTCGTCGTGTGATACTCGGCTATTAATGATCAGTCTGTGACAAATACTACTTATGAATGATTTACATAGTTAACAGATATTTGCATTTATTATTATGCATCTTTTGTATGGAAAAATGAAACGTGAAAATGTTTATCAAGCTCAATTATTACTTGTACCAGTTGATTAATAACTTTGTTTTTACAGTATATCTACCTTTTGTCAATATATATGCGAAAAAGTTATTCACGTGTTAGAGAAGTCGATCACTTATAGGCTATATTTCTTATGATTGATATTTCTACTGGATGTATATAAGTTAGAATATCTATTTCGTTTAGTTAGTTAGTATTCATTGATTTAGCTATTTCAGGTGGAAAAGGAATAACAGTAATAACAGAAAATATGTTTTATGTTACAATTTTTCTAATGAATTCAATTAATTAAGCTTTCTTATTATCAAATCGTTATAACGTATAGGACTCTTAATATATATGAACGTGCAATTAGAGAAGGTAGTGGATTTTACTGATCGGCACAATGATGGTGCTTGAAATCGTACGAGCAGTCTTGATTGCTAACCGGTCTTGCGATCTGCCTAGCCAACCAGTTAAGTCCAGAACACAAATAACAGCCTCGGCAATATGAATCATTATTTTACAAACATACTGGGTTTTTATACAAACCAAAGTAATCAATAAACTGATTATAACTCAAAAATCGTATGATAATAAATCAAAGATCAAAATAAAGCTAATGATAAGAGAAAACGAATATGAATAATTTAGTTACGTAACAATTGTACAATAGGAAATAGGCATAATACATTGGTTGATAAATAGACCTTAGAGTTACCATTCGTAATTCACCAGGGGATATAACACAAATCAAGGCAACATTGAAAAAAAGTAAAAGTAAATTGGAGTATTGAAAAGTGATTTTAAACACTTCATACATAAATAAAACAAATTTCCAAAGCAAAGAGCTCTAGTAAAAAGTAAGACATCTTTTTTTCGAAATATGAGTTAAGACGGAGACCTGTGCACCATTGCTATTAACTCAAGAATAGACATAATGTATGTCCTGTTTATGTTGACAAATATACGTAGTATGTAAAACCAATCAGAAATGGAATGCCTGGCACCGGAGGATTGAGAAGATCGAATTGAAGAGAACGGGAATTCAATCAGAGAATAATGGTAATAAAAACAGAATTGAAGAAACCATAACGCATGTAAATGACAACTGAAGGAAGATGTGCAAATAACGTATTCAAAGTATGGTTTTCATATTTCACGAAGACACCGAAATTTTGCATTAAACAATAAATTGGTCTTCCCCACCTGAGTTCTCGTTCGCTACAGATGTTTATGAATTCGCCTCCCACATGATCTGATCATACTAACTGATTTTCCATCCTTATATATTATGTATTACTCTGTTTTAAAATATGATCTTTGTTCACAACTTGGTCATCAGGAATGTTATGATGACTGTCTTTACTGTGTACCGATAAACGTGCACACTTTTTTTAACTATCTGGTTTTTTCATTATTTCCTTTGATAATACCGTATTTCATACTATTAATTGTATGATATATGAATTCGACTATCAAATTGTTTATTCATAATCTACTTGATGTATAACTCATTTTTTAAACCTTCTACCAATGGATTTATATTTACGGATAAATATTTAGTTAGGTGAATTGTGCGGAAGGTCTTGCAATCACGGACTGACATCAGTTGGTGAATTGTTAATGATACTAGAGGACGGTCGCACTATGTAGTAAATTAATCAAGACTGTAAATGCGGACTACTATGGATTCTAACTCAACAGTTTAAAGGTAGAGGCCTCGCCCTGAGATCTGAAGGTCCTATTTCAAATCACTGGGGGGTTCGTGAGTATATATTCCTAAGGAATTCCATGCTAGGATGTATCAGGTATCTCCGGTATTCATTGGTCTTCGCTGGCTGACATCAGTCTGTAATAAAAAGACCTATCATTATATAAGTATTCGTTATTCACTATCCTGTCATTATCAACGATGGGATAAAGAAATAATTCCCTTTATATTTATTCATTGAAATTATAGGTCCCACAAGGTAGGAATATTGTTTCAGATAATATGAATTCACTTAACTCATCTAATTGTCAACCATTTGTTGAAAATTCAACTTGCGTAATAAATCCCGGAAATAATATTACTGCTGTTAAAAAATCTTCAATCAAATGTCATTTTCCCTCAATATCAGTGCCAACAGCATCAACGACACTACCAACAACACCTGATATACCATCATATTCCATTGAGGATAGAGACCGAAATTTTCCAAAGGATCGTTCACTAAACAATGATCCAATAGTGGTATGTTTAATAGTGCAATTTTTAGTAATGGTACTTTTCTCTATTTTAAGTGATTGTTTGATTAAAGTAGCCATAATGTAAATTTCATTATTGTTATATTGTAAAAGGTTAAATTACAGTTTTATTATCGTATTTTTAGAAACTTGTTCGAAAATTCCACACACTTTAAATACGTCTACTACAGTCATAAGTTCCATTTCGTTTTACAATTCAATAGAATCGATAGTAAAAAATAGTCTTCATCGAATTACGCTCACAAATTCAAAGGATCGGTTGTTGAATTATAAATAGAACGTTGCCCATCTGTCAAGCAGAGACTTATGCACTTGGTTCTGAACCACAATTTGTATGTGAAGGTTATTGATACTACTCGATTGCCCAAATAAATGTGGGACACCACTCAAAGCTACAACCTTGTAGTTAAAAGTTGAACGCCGTCCGTCGGACTTCTACAGTTTTTTTTTAAAGTTTCATGTAAATATTACTTATTGAATATTAATATGAGTTTATCATTGATAGACTTTTTGAATAGCTACTCACAATCGTGACATGTAGTGCCAGTTCATATATGACATTAGATGTAATCGTGTGACTATACCACATGTGTTGAGTAAAACTAAGAATATGCACTTAGATTTTGATAAGCTGACTAAATAAAAGATTTATATTCTCCGCTAGTAATGGCTCTATGTTGGATTGTGTGTACTAATGTAGGTATGTACTACTTAGGCATCTAAAATCCGAATAAAACAGCATTTGTCAGTGGTTTTTCAATTGCTATTTCTTCTATCGTTGATCTAGGACTGACCATGTTTGTACAACCGTTCAAACTAGAAAGCATGGGACAGCTGTTTTGTATGAGTATGGAACCACTGAGCAGTGTGCATCCACGACACCACCCGGGATTAAACTTAGGCCCTTCAGGCTTCTTGGCCAGCACTTAGCCTCTCAACAACTGGATTGGCATCCAGTATTTTTAACTTCCATCGAATCAGGCCTGTAGGTCCTTTATCAATCCCTGACAGGGTCATGGAAGCGCATTACTAAGGAAAAAGTAACTGTCCAGAGGTTACTAGTTTTCAATCGTCGTTTAACTAAAGTCCATCTATGATACGAGACTTCAACAATCTCTAAAGCATCTTATAGACAGAAAAAATGTCCAAATAAGATTAATGTTATTTATTAATAAAATATTTTACATGAATTCAATTTGATTATCATTTATTTGTATAAAAGTCTCATTATACAACTAGTATAGTTTTACCCATTTATGGTAAAAAAAATAACGCGATGTCGTTTGAAGCGAAAGATATTGGGTTCGAGTCCCTAAGTGAACATCAACTCTGAGATGCAGGCACATCCAGCTGACGAGTCCCAAATAGGACAAAACGCGCGTCCTGGATTGCATTGCTAGCCACTATCCATCTTTGCTTACAATAATCTAAATTGTTTATCTTCCATTGTTTTATCACCATTTGTCAAAGTTATCATGATGTATTTCTTTGTTGGATTGATAAAGTTCAGTAAAATAAAATCCTTTTCAGATCTTATAAATTTTTTTGGAATGTTTGTGTATTTTTACTCACGTTTTTTTTTCGGGTTATCTACGTTATCGTTGTTTATCATCATCAACATCAACTTGTTGTCTTACGATTATTTATCTATTCAATATGGTACCATGATTTGTTTTTCTTTTTTAACTTTATAAAAGCCTTGATTAATAATTAGGTTGTGATATAACACGAAAATATCTTGTTATACGCAGAATAGCTAAGAGCTGATAATTAAGAAAATTTTGCCGGTTAAATTGACAATATTTTTAAAAAATATTAACTCTAATGAATTGGATTAGCATATTTATATGTAATTAGGTCATTGTTGAAAAATTCCAAATAATTTTTGTTAAATTTACATATTCTTGTTAAGTCAGTCAGTCTTGTTAATATAACTAATTAATCATTCAGATTGTATTATGTAATCTGTTTGACACATTGGTAAATTAACGTTGAGAATTCCAACGTAAATGAGACATTCCTTACATTGAGCAGCGGTAGTTTGTCATCGAAAAAGAAATCAAACAGCTTGGAATTTGGCTCATCGACAAATTAGCCACATTCGTGTTTTTCCAATTAATTGCAACTAGTGACATTGTGCTTATATATTATTAGCTGTTCTAATTCAAAATAATCCTTGATGTGGCCTATCTTCAGATTATATTTGTATCACATCCTGAATTCAGTGTTCTTTGACTTCATTAAAGTCTTATCATACTTAGCAATCCTGTTACTGTATTTGGATCCAGCGCATTTCTTTGCTTACAGTCTTTCGATAATTATTATCTCAATGGAAAGTAACTACATTTTCGTGTGTAGTAATAATTTATATTTCCTCATGAATTCATATTACTTTCCATTTTTATTTCAATCGAGTTTCACCTTTATTTCAGTCAAATATTTCTGTAGAGGATCGCCTCTATGGAATATGGCGTCAACTTATACCACATTGTGCATCAAATCATATATTAGTTTGGGCTCATCAACAAGGTGCTAATGCATTTATCCATCCATTCAAACCTATGCCTGATGTGTTTCCTGGGTTCTTATCACCAGTTTCAATAAATTCACATAAGAAGATGTCTTCGACTCCTATCAACACGGATAAAAGACAAGAAATGTCAGAAGAACCGATTGTCCCACCTGCCATACATAATGATTCCATGTTTGACAAAGGTCCGGAATCCTTATCTAGTAACCATGACAATCTCAATTCAGTAGTCCAGCACAACTCTAAAATGCGGATTAACAAACAATTAGAGTGGTCGACTGATTGTTTATCAAGAGTACTAAAGTACGTTAAAAAGTTAATTTGGTGCTAATACGTTATATATGTCACTAAATGTTTAAATCTTTCGTCTAAAAATCGAATATAAAAATCGATAACTTAGTAATCGGGTCGTGTTATGTTCGCGATATTATTATATCACCCTGGACCAGCGAACGGAACGAAAACCAGGAACCAGATAACAGGACATAGCTAAGCTATTTCTTTGTGCTCCAGCCCTGCTAACTAGAAGAGGATGACCAGATTCGGTTGGGGAACTATATAATTCCACAAGCAGCCCGGAAGAACGGATAACAAACACACAACTCATGCGCAATATAAACAACACAAGAATGTCTTTGAGAAGCGTCACAAAATGGCGTACTAAAAGAGAAAACCAACCAATGACATTTAAGTTCCTTCCAGGTGGGAAACAAACAAAATTTCCACAAGTTAATCACAAAAACAAGGACTTTACGGATTGATTTCCGGGGATCTAACATTCACAAAAGACCCTAGAGCTAATACGATTTCTGTGTTATGTCTCATGCATTGTGTCCAACAAGTACATGGATTAATCTAAATTTGAGTTGAACTTGAGGAAAACTGAGAAAATTTGCAGTGTTCAGAGCTGCTTAAGGAAATAATGCACTAACAGAAACTGTTGTTTTCAGTGAATCAGGCTTTTTAGTATAACTTATGAAGACTGATTACCGTCAACTTCCTGTCGGACATATTCAGTCTTTTTCAACGACTCACTTTGTAGATATTATTGATAGATAGGTCTATTTATCAGTGTATCGTGCAAATTTGTTAAACGCGTGATCAAAACAACATTATTATAACGAGATATGCTATATAATGTTACAATGTATATATATAGTTAAATTTTATATGCTCTCCTGATAAAGTTCATAATACAAAATGTGTAACAAAATTTTTGACCTAGTTTTGTTTCTCTTTGATTCATCATACATTTATATCTTGAAAAGCCTTAGTTGTTTTTATAATTTAAATAGGTGAAATATTTCGTCTAAATAATGATAAAATTAATACAGTTCATTTATCTAATCCAAAATTGTTTACATTAAGGCGATAGTGATGCCTACTATCTAACTAGCTACATACTTATTATTATTGGCTTTATTCAGTATTAAATTTTCCGGTACAATATGGAATTCCCAGCACAAATTATTTCAACAAGTTTCCTTTTCTTGTTTCTTCATCGATCCTGTTGACGAATATTGAGTGATCGCCAGTTACATGTTAGCAGTTCAGCAATCGACATTGGAATAATGTTCACTTTTTTAATCACGTATTGTCAGCCACCACGATGTATCTGATTGTACTTTTTTGTAACTTGTACAACGGAAAGTTTTAAACTTCTCATAAACGTGCTTCAGTAGACTGAATGTTGTGTTAAAACAAACAAAAACAAATTTCCGAATTTCATTATGTTTAAGAAAAGTGTGGTGAGTGCACGTGAATGTATACTAAGTCTTAGTGATTGGTATTTATACTTCTAAGCTTAGTGTAAAACTGACAATTTTAAATGAAAGTTTATATATATATATATATATATATATATATATATATATCAGTTTGTGTATATCCCTGTCATATGACACTGGAATTATTGCATTTTAATTTGCGCCAGTCAGTGTTATAGAAAATCAAATACATTATCTTTAACTCAATCGAGTATCGATGGACTTTCTGTAAAACTGATATCTTTACACAAACCGATCATTGAGTAGAGAATAATATAATACTTTTCTAATCCTTAGTGCTGATAGAATTTCGTCGCTATCGTCTGTAGAACCATTCAATCCTAAATGGTTAGGAGTAAAAGACAGACAGCTCTGAATCCAATTTCTACGCACATGATTTTGAATTAGTTAGACTAGTGTATAGTATATACATATGACTAATATAATCACTTCCTTTAGATTTCTTTTTGAATCTACAAACTTTAATTTTCATGAGGACTTTAGAATCAAGATGTATTTGTACCATGTTTAGTGCGAATGATAAAAAAGTCTTCCTTTAATAATCAATAGGTCAGCGGAAATAGATCGAGTCTACGATCTCTAAATCCCATATCAAGCAATTAACTTATAGACCCCATTAAACTAGAATCATATGGTCTACATTATTTCCAACTTATAGTAAGAGATCGTTGGTGGTGAAGCTTAAACATATCGGGAGATGAGATAGTCATGTCTCATGACTCATGATTTCAACTGTGAAAATACTAAATTCTCCACAAAACCCCCTTTTTTATCATTCGCACTAAACATGGTACAAATACATCTTGATTCTAAAGTCCTCATGAAAATTAAAGTTTGTAGATTCAAAAAGAAATCTAAAGGAAGTGATTATATTAGTCATATGTATATACTATACACTAGTCTAACTAATTCAAAATCATGTGCGTAGAAATTGGATTCAGAGCTGTCTGTCTTTTACTCCTAACCATTTAGGATTGAATGGTTCTACAGACGATAGCGACGAAATTCTATCAGCACTAAGGATTAGAAAAGTATTATATTATTCTCTACTCAATGATCGGTTTGTGTAAAGATATCAGTTTTACAGAAAGTCCATCGATACTCGATTGAGTTAAAGATAATGTATTTGATTTTCTATAACACTGACTGGCGCAAATTAAAATGCAATAATTCCAGTGTCATATGACAGGGATATACACAAACTGATATATATATATATATATATATATATATATATATATATATATATATATATATATATATAAACTTTCATTTAAAATTGTCAGTTTTACACTAAGCTTAGAAGTATAAATACCAATCACTAAGACTTAGTATACATTCACGTGCACTCACCGATACATGTAGTATGAGGTAAATAACGTCATAAACAACAGCTATAAATATATTTGGATCTCATACAATGGTCAGCTGGTTGTTCACATTTTCACATCCATACTTTTTTTTCTAAATTATATCAAAACAGTACACAATCTGGCGAGTCACGATTTGTTTTTATTGATCATTTATAATACTTTATTACAGTTTTATGGTTAATATTTTATGCAAGATCAAAATAAATATAATCTGTGTTTAAGTCGTAACATTTTTAATTAAATGGTTCTTATGTATGAATACTAAACTTACCTCAGTTCCTTTCTTAAGGCGAGGGTAAAGAAATAGGTGAAACTGTAATTTATAGACGAACCAATCACGTATTAGATAACAGATCTTGGATTTGGGCGCGTAATTCACCCATCCATTTAGCTTAACAGCGTTTTGGCACTTTAACTGATGTATGTTCGTGATGAAAACCCCAATATCTAGTTCTTAACCCTAACCATCAACTGTAAATCTGAATTCTAACCCCTCACACTTATTCATAACCCTTATTTAGTCCTAGTTAATAGGCAGACATTCTCAAAGTCACTTTAGCATCGCTCAAAGGTCGTCCATAAATTATTGTTTTACCAAGAAATGAACTGGAAAAAAAGGAAAAGCCGTAAATAGTAGTACATATAATAGTGAAAATATGAATATATTGTGAGGTCAGCGATTACAATGGGTTCACTTAGCAAACAGGAATAAAAAGTAGCTAGTTATGCAGCTTATCTTTTACAAACGTTAATCCATACATAAATATAAGTCAATTTAAAGGAACTAACATTTCTATATTTTTTAATGTAAATATGGTTTTAGTTAAGTAACATATAAAGTAGTGTATTTAAAAAGGAGGATTACATCATGTCAGATATCAAAACGAAAGTTGCGTAACAACCAAGAATTTAAAGGAAGATAATAAGATGGAATTAAATATATGAAAGTTAATTATCTACATGACGAGTATGAAAAGGTGAAGGATAAGTTATGAACATGTAAGTGATAATAACGAATAATTAAAAATCCAAAAGAGTATATTAGCAACCGAATTACCGAACATGAAAATCAAGTATTGGGGCTATAAAAGAATAATAGCTTGCATGTACTAACTTTCATGCAGTGCACAAGATAATAATTTATGGTCCTATCGAACCCAGTCGTTTGACTGATTAGATGATTCTAAAGAATATATCTGACGAGACCTTTCTCATACACATCAAGCGGACAATTAACTTTCACACATTTAGTTACATCTCATTATCTTCCTTTCAATTCTCGATTGTTATGCAGTCAGTCAGTCAGTCAGTCAGTCAGTCACAACGTAGAACTTCGTACGTACGTACATCAGTTCGAGTTGCCATACCACATTAGCACACAGATGCAGTTGTCGATTCAAATCCCATAGTGGAAGAAGTAGTAAGAGTATAATCAGAAATCCAAAAGATTAGGGTTTGAAGAAATTATTGAAGGAGTATAGTACAGTGAAATATATTTGGAAAGAGAAAAAGATAAAGACATGAGAAATTCAGAAGATTAGAATTTGGTAGAACACAAAGAGTGGATGCACCTTCGCCATTGCAAACGATTTTGAGCCATGTCATTCAAGGCCTCTAACCATCGGTTGCTGTCATCTCGCGGATCCCAACCAGGTAGTCTACACCTACCAACATGGCCCAGACCACTTGTCAGTGACTTCATTGATTTGTGCCACGTTTTGGTCTGGCCACCCCTAGCTTTCTTCCAACCTACTCCTACACCATGAAACATTGCACGTCGGGGCAGTCGGTGGTCGGGCATACGTAACACATGTCCCAGCCATCTCAACTGATGAAGTTTCACTACTTCATCAATCGATTTGCCATCCCTACCTAGTACTCGTTTCCTAACAACTGCATTACTTACCCGGTGGTCCCAGGATATACGAGCAATGCTTCGAAGACACCTATGATCGAACACTAGTAGCCTACGAATATCCTCTACTCTTACCGGCCATGTTTCACTTCCATAAAGTAGGACGGAACGGACTGCTGCACAGTAAACCCGTCCTTTGGTTGCTAGACGGATATCTCGCCTACGCCACAAATGATGCAAGTTGGCGAAAGCTAGACGAGCCTTCTGTATCCGTGCTGAGATTTCGTC